TGTCGGTAGACAGGATACTGGGCTAGATGGACCTTTGGTCTGACCCGGTACGGTCTTTCTTATGTTCTTATGTTTTTATGTCGTTTACACTCTCATGGGATATCTGACACACCAGGTGAGAGTTGTATACAATTGGTGCTGAAATAAGATGAGCAAAGAAGGGTTACAAAACAAAGATCAGACGAAAAAACAATGAGGAGTCCTTCTGACACCTTAAAGACTAACAAATGTATTTGGGCCAAAGCTTTCATGGGCTAAAACCCATCAGATGCATGGAGTACAACATACAGTAGGGAGGTATAAATGCATAGCATATGAATAGATGGGAGTTGCCTTACCAAGTGGGAGGTCAATGCTAACGAGCCAATTCAATTAAGGTGGAAGTGAGCTATTCTCAACAGTTGACAAGAAGGGGTGGAAATCACTTTTGAAGTGCTAATGAGGCCAATGTAAACAAGGTGGCCCATTTCAAACAGTTGACAAGAAGGTGTGAGTATCAGCAGGGGGAAATTAGTTTTTGTAGTGACCAATCCACTCCCAGTCTTTATTCAGGCCTAATTTGATGGTGTCCAGTTTCCAAATTAATTCCAGTTCTGCAGTTTCTTGTTGGAGTTTTTTTGTTGAAGAATTGCCACTTTTAAGTCTGTTATTGAGTGACCATGGAGATTGAAGTGTTCTACTGGTTATCTACAATGTACTACTGTTGCAAAAAAAAAAAACCATAATAATAACCCATTCAACCACTTTCTACCCTCAAATAACCCACATTAAGGAAATGTAGCTCTCTAGTTACTTTCACATAAGAGAATAAGAATCTACTACTGCTGCACACTAGAGAAGCATATCCCTTAGCTAAAAGGGTCCAAATTCATGCTTTTAGTGCAGAAGATACTAGGTATAATCCCTGCTGATGACCCACAGTGGATAAATAGCTAAATTCACTCCACACTGCAACCCAGATCTGGGGGTTATAGTGGATTACAAACAAAAATCTGAATCAACAATGTACTACTGTTGCAAAAAAAGAAAAACCCATAATTCTGGGATATATTAGCAGGAGTGTTGTAAGCAAGACATGAGAAGTAATTCTTCCACTCTACTCAATACTGATAAGGCCTCAACTGGAGTAGTGTGTCCAATTCTGGGCACCACATTTCAGGAAAGATGTGAACAAACTGGAGAAAATCCAGAGGAGAGCAACAAAAATGATTAAAGGTCTAGAAAACATGACCTGTGAGAAAAGATTGAACAAATTGGGGTTGTCTAGTCTGGAGAAGACTGGGGGCGGGTGGGGAGGGGAAACACACATGATAACAGTCCTGAAATACATAAAAGGTTGTTATAAAGAGGAGGGTGATAAATTGTTCTTCTTAACAACTAAGGACAGGGCAAGAAGCAATAGGCTTAAATTGCAGCAAGGTAGATTTAGGTTGGACATTAGGAAAAACTTCCTAACTGTAAGGTTAGTTTAGCAGTGGAACTAATTACCTAGGGAGTTGTGGGATCTCCATCACTGGATGTTTTTAAGAATATAAAAAAATTGAAAGATTTGTTGGGCAAATGGATGAGGGGTAAAAAGGTGGCAAGTTTTGAAGGAACGCTTGATCTTGTTTCTCAAGAGCATTTCTTAAGCATATGTAAGGCCGAAGTAAAGCAGTGTCTATGGGACAAAGATGTAAAGACTGTGGATGAGATGGCTTTTTTAGCTGGTGCCTTTGAACAGCATTGAAACTGCTTCAAACAGCAGTTTGTTCGAACATTTTGTTACTTGAACAAAATGCTTTTATTTCATTTGACCAAATTTGACTTGTTTTGCTTTGCCTTATAAACACTTAAAACCTATGTTTGTAGTTAATAAATCTGTTTGTATATTCTACCTGAAGCAGTGTGTTTGGTTTGAAGCATGACAGAGACTCCCCTTGGGATAACAAGCCTGGTACATATCAATTTATGTGTTACACTGATGAACGCATATAAGCTTGCAGCGTCCAGCAGGCATAACTGGACACTGCAAGACGGAGGTTCCTAGGGTTGTGTCTGGGACCGGAGATATTGGCAAGTGCCATTGGGTTGCACAATCCAAGAAGCAGCTGACATGCCAGAGGCTGTGCGTGAACAGACCCAGGAGTGGGGGATCTCACAGCAGAGCAGGGTGATGCTGGCTCCCAGAGTCGAGGATTAGAGTGACCTAGCAGATCAC